TTTACTTTTATCAACACATAATACCTCTTCATTTTTCCAATCTTCCTCTTCATCACCCATGGGTTCCTCATACCATTCTAGCATGTTGATTGTGGCAATTCTCTTAAATCCTGGAAATTGCAAGTGCAAAGGTAAATTCTAAGAAAATTTCTGCATACTCCATATTTTACCAACTGATAGACTCTTACCACAATTGGTATAGTGCATAACATTGTATCGAGGGGGGAAAAAAAAACCCTTTCTTATCCCTTGAACAAAACATTTGCAAATCGCTGTAATAAAGGGAAACAGTTTGCCTTTTATCCTCCCTCGATCATCCAGATCGTTTTTCGCATACTTCCAGCGTATGCCGAGTTCTCCATCACATTCGACTTTACTGGCTCCCATTTACCGTTCCCGCCGAGGATGGGAGGGTTTGACTGAGAGTATGATCTGGCCGGGGACATCAATTCGGCCGAGGATATGCCTCACCACAGTATCCCCACATGATAGGGGTACCGTCTTCAAAGGAGATGTCAGATGTGTCGTCGCAAGCCGTGTTTTGTATGCAGGGCTAGTCGTTTGTTAAACATGTGGAGGGGCGCTCAAGAGGTTGCATGTGTCGAGAGGGTCAGGGTTACTTAGTTAAAATGCACAGAAATGCCATTCTGCGTATTCGGGTTGTTAAATTTTAACAGTTCCGGCGGCAGCGCCCGAAAAAAATCCATGTCTATGAATAACACTAATACTCTGCATAGAATTACCAAAGAAGTACGGGGTACTGTACTGTACCAATGTCCGGTGCGACAATCCCTGGGGTCCCAGCGATAATTCAAATTGTGGACTCTCGTTTAAAACAAAGTGATGACCTCCGCCGGGAAGCGAACGGCGCCTCCGAGAGAATCGGAGATTTGGTCCGAGCCGAGCGGGAAGCATTGGAGGTAGAAGTATGATACTTAAAGAAAAGTTACCGCTCCTCCAAGTACAAGCCGAGCAGGCACCCACACCCGCCCAACCAACTGGCCCTACCAATACTCGCATATTCATAACCGGGTGGCTACATGTACCCCAAAAGGCTACGAGAAAATTGGATTGGGCCATAGCTTTCATATCAATACATCCTATGCGAGATGGTTCCACTCGATACCTCCACGAGAAACTTAGGAATGACACTGATCCGAATATAATGAGCGCCATGTTAGAGGCAGCCATTATGAAGAGGATTTCCGAAATGAGCACAGAAATATATCTCTTCATTTGGATGCTGAATTTGACAGAACATACATACAAAGGTGGAATAATACTTCACTTGAAGGTGAATGGCTGAGACCTAGTGATGGTAGCCCGGCAAATAGGCATCTCCGACCCCGAGGGCCTGCAGTGTATTCACTTGAATTGGAGGCGATATTGCCCTTTGGGGTGGAAGCCAGTCTCGACTATAACTCCATCAATACAAATGAAGGGATGTAGGAACAAGTATAACAGCAAGGCTCCCGTAGGTCAATGGCTGACATATTGGAGTCTAAGTTTTTTCCTGCTTCTCTCCATATCGATGCAATCCCGCAAGAAACTACCAGTCCTTGCCGCAGCAATAGGATCCAGTCATTAAATGATGGGGAAGGGTTAGAAGATGAATACGGTGCTACACTTGGACTCATAAAGGCCCAAAACGGGGAAATGATAAAAATTTGGCTGGAATCTCTCAGAGGGATCTGTCATGCGGGACGGTCGTTACTGGTCTATGAGTTGTAAGACTCGTCTAGTTTGTTCTTAACCAGCATATTCATCAATCGCCATTTCCCTCCACAATTTTCTCCCGTTCAGCATGCCTCATCCAATATGACCCTATCACTGCCGCTCAGTTTCACAGATGTTTATTGACCACATTCTGGTCCCCTCTTGCTGCAGGTGGAGTGACAGATGGGTGAGCAGTGAGACCAGCAGCTTAGAGAGGCATTGTGGGTGAAGACGCAGATCAACATAGGCGGTAGTAAGGCTAGGCTGATTGATGCGAAGCTCATAGGAGAAATGAACACTAAGAAAAATTACCAAAGAGATGGCAACCGCAATTCGAACCGCAATATCAGTAGGCAGCCTTGGCACTTCTACAGTACTTCCATCCTCCTATTCCGTTGCGAGGGATCCCGGCAAGACCACAACTGGAGCTGGTATTGCACCATTAGCCCCATGGCCCCCACCCTGGTTTGGGCAGTAGTGTTGTAGTATTAACCTCCATATCCCCGATCCCCTCCACAATGAAATCCTCTAGCATCTATTTTCATGCCTGGTTGGTTACCTTCTGGTTAGCCCACTCCACCACAAGCACGACAAACCACAGGCGCATTCCGAGTCGAATAGAAGCTCTGCTTCAAATTATACACTCTTTTCTCCATCCCCTCCAAGTACCCAACTATCATGGCCCAAAACTCTCTACACCCCTCGAACTTCTCCTCTAACTTCGCTTAACTTTGAGTAACGATGCAGAGGATGGCAAGAATAGCCGGATTGGCGGACTGCTGAAGTTGTGCTTTTAGGCTCGGGGGATTTACCTACGCCAGCGGAAAGTATGGTGGATCGCGAGCGCCCTTGGAGAAAATATGAAAAGGTGGATTGGACGGTTGGGCTACGTGCTGGGTAATATGGGTGGCGGAGTTAAGTGGTGGCCCAAGGTGGCCAGTCCGTCAGGCTTTGGGTAATGCCGGACCGACCCAGGCCTTTTCAGGGATGACCGTGTCCGACTATCAGAAAGCAGCGCCTTAAAGCCAAAACTGGGCCCAGCCTGTGGTTTGCCAGCCGGATGAAGTTTCTGCATATGTTAATTGCTTGTTTTTCCTTACACTGAAGAAGCTTATCACTGAAACAGGACAAACTGTTCATAATATACTCCCCCGGTAAACTCTTCAAGTATCCCCTCTACATGATCCATTTCCAACCGGATCTAGCAACGCTGCTTTCCCCACAACTTCAAGCATTCCACCGCCTCAACAGCATCGTTGTTAAGGCAGTTTCTTTAATCCGGAATTAGAATCCGAGAACTATCTCCACCATTAAAGTCATTGCCTGTGCCCGATACCAGGCATTTGGAAAGCAGAGAAATAATGGACTTTATCTGCTAAACACTCGTTCCACCTCCGGCGACGCTGGGAGAATAGTTATATTTCTCTCCAATTCCCTATTTCTAATACCAGCAGGCCTCCCGGACATATATATCTCCGGATCACACTGCCTAAATTGAAATTTCAAATAGCCGGGACAGCTTCGGCCTGGGCATCTAGCCGGCTTTTTAGCCTGGGTTGCTGTAAATACTTTTTACCTGGCGGTTACACGGGAATGATACTCGAGTACAAGTACAAGTACAGTTAGTTCCCATGGCAGTTTTTCCGGCCAACAATAATTTCTACCGGAGCCGACTGACCTACGACTGTTGAAAACCATGACCATAACTGGCTAGACTGGCCGAACTACAACCACGGTTCTGGACTGGACCGATCTGGGATCGCAGGGTGCTAAGCTATGTAATGTACTGAAAGGGTTTAGTAACCTCCCCCTGAAGAGAAAAGGTTGAGGAGGGATGGGGATACGGTAGATTAGAAGAGTTGGCGATATGATTTGTCATTTCGAGTTCTACGCTCCAAATTTCTTACTTAATTGTCGAGCAAAGTCCAAGAGTTGTTCACGGTCTCGTTTCAGAAATCCAACCAACAAAAGCCCCCCTCCCCACCTTTGTAAATAGTACGGAGTGGCTGGAGGTAATAAGGTGTGTATCATAGATAACACAAATCACCAAACAATCTTAATAATATGACAACCAATCTTCAAGCGAACACTACCATTTCCCAGAGCTGGTAGGGAATCACTACCGTATTGGGTGTGAGTTCCATCAAGGAAGGTGACTGAGTGAGACAGTGAGTAGGGAGGAAAAAGAAAGGAAATGATTCCAAGACTTGGAAATTTTGTTATGGTACGGGGAATGTGGAGAACTTTAGGTTCATTCGCAAAGATCTAACTTGCAACCCTGTAAATTTCCCAGAGTTTTCTTACTTACTTAATAAGGCTTCATTGAGCAAGGATTTGTTACTGTTCTCTCTCTCTATCTCCTTTTTTATCCTATCTTCATGTCTTTTGTTGTATCATAGCTGGGGGCACTTCGCACGAGGACAAGGGGATCCATATCAGCCCTATCGCTCAAATTCAATACAAGTGCTTTTCACTACGGTCGAGGTTTTTTTGCATAACCGGTAGCAGAGTTGAGTTCCCACCAAACCCGTTCACTATATATCATAGGAAGGTATTCAGCACTAGTACATCACTGTTTGTTATAGTCTAATACCGAAGTGCGTACCATACTAGACGCAGGCCAGATTACCAAACACCGTCTCCCCCACAAAACCACTTGAGCACTGACCCCCCCCCCCCAGCAACTTAAATTTAAACTACCTGTATCACACAGTGCCTTCCACCCTTATCGATAAGGCGGCCACCCCCAACCCCCGGATATTATTGCCTATTTTGTATAAATATTCCCGACGATCAAGGTCAGGGACAATATATCCGTTCCTGGAATCCCCCCTCCCCTTACAATTAAACAGACACCGATGCGCACGATTGGCGTGAAGCGAGTGGAATACGAGGCACCGGTGAGGAAGTTATGATGGACTATAATCGTGTGGCGTGGATAGCTCAGCATATGATATACTCGAGTACTGGTATTGGTACCACCGGTACAGCACCACAAGTCGTGCCGACGCCGAATCGGCAAAACGAAAACGACACTCATACGGTATCATAATCACACCGCTCATCCCACCAACAGCGACGGGGCAAAGAAAGAGACGGGGGGAGGGGGAAAAGGGAAAGGAGAAAGGGACTCCTTTCCCCTCTTTGACATTTTTTCCATGATACATTTAGCGCTAAAAGTATAGTAATTTAGGTTACGACAGATGGAGAAGAACTTAACGAGAAGACAAAAGCCATTTTGTTAGAGAAGTGCACTCACACATCACACAGCACTTGTACTTATATAAGAGTTTTAGTTCTCCGTTCCCTCTCCTTTCAATAATTGTTAATTCCTCCCCCCCTCTTCCTCTACATCTCTCCCTGATGTATTCTCCGTTCCGTTGTTCTTTTCTTCTCTTACCCATCCTGCTTGACTCTTTCTTTCACCCTCCTCCCACCCTTCCTTCCCTATCCCGAAGATGCCGAGGGAATATCGAAATTTCAAGAGGAACCAAAAATAAAACAATAAAACAACAATACAAACAATTTTTATTCACCTGACCGAAAAAATAAAAGAAACGAAAAGATAACAAACAACAAAAAAAAAACGCTAATAAAACAAACCTATGAAATCAAGTCAAAGCGGGTAACAATCCAATCGGACCAACAGACAAAATAAGACAGAAAACCCAAAGCCAACATGCGCCTTCTCCGACCAACGATATCAAACCGATAATGATGAAAAATGGAATTGAGGGGATTATGGGGGTTATATATGAAAACGAAAAACGCAATGCCCCGGAGGCCAATGTACAAGGAATTGCTTTAACCAAGGAGGACTATGTTTTACCAGAGGTTAGCCATGAGCAGGATCTGACGGGTGTTTAGTTCAAGATGTTCACCTTCCCATTTCCAATCCTTCATAACGCCAACCCAGTGCAGCTTCCCCCTCACCGACATCTCATGCTCCGCAAGTATTTCCGAAGGAGTGCTCCCAGAGGAATCATCAGTCATAGCTCGTCCCTTAAGACCCATGTCGTCATTTTCGGTCAAGGCAGCGCCTCCCCACCCATACACCTCCTCCATCTCAGATCCCACAGGACTTATGCGTTTATAAATTGGAGCATCCAAGGTTGGAGAACAGAACCGTGCGCCGGTCGGAGATAGGGAATATCTCTGTATAGCTTCCTGTGATTCCCAGAATCTATCTCTACGGTCCCAGACCTCCTTCATAACCTCCCAGGCTTTAGACACGTTCCCGATCCACATCCTCGAGCACATGTCCTCCCAACGGCTCTTGACCCAGGATCTTTCACCTTCAGTTATTGCCTCACAACCAGCAGCGAGAAGAGGATATATATGCACTATGCAACTCCGAGAGGACATGGGGATATCAGCAATCAATAGCATTACCTTCTGCGCAAGCTCACGAGAGCCCAGAGACGGCAGCTCCGGGACGGCCTGGTGGAGATATAAAAGTGTTGCGTAACGGTATGCCTCTGCGGTTTTGACACAATGCACGACATTGCTGGAACTGTCCACGGGAGGATCATAGTGGGATTCAGGGGCCCACCGTTCGAGTAGATTCTTAATCCCCATACCCTCGTTGATAATATCATATGTATTCTGATCGGTTTGGCGGACCTTTTGAACAAGACTCGCAACCCTTCCAATCAAAGGGAAGAGGGTGGCTGCGCAACCCATCAACGGGTCAATCTCACTTATAGGCGTTAAGGGCCTGTTGACCGTTACAGGCCCTTGATCATCTTCATCTTCATCGGAGGTCAGACGGGCGAGAACATCAAGATAAACCCAAACATTATACAAGAAACCCAATCTCTTGTGGGCAACCTCGTCGGGGCTAGAAGCGCTGTGCTTCGCCAGAGCTTGCCTGACGAGGATCTTAGCCCCTCTCAAATGCTCTATCCCAGTGGATATATGCTGATCAAACGCTTCGGAAAATGCAAGCACGAGAGTAGTCGCGAGTGCCGCCTCGTTCCGGGTATCACCGCAGCCTATGTCATTGGCCAGACAGCGGATCGAGCTACGCATATGTTCCATCCCTTCCACCCTAAGTTCTGGTTTACCTCCAGACATGTGGAAGGCTGTCATGGATGCGATCGCATGATAGAGTGCCGGTGAATCTCGTGCAAGTGGCCAAATAAGGGTTCTCCACGGATTTTCGTTAGGGCCATCCTTGACCGACATTATGCCACATGTATTCTTATCAAAGTGCAGTACAAGCATTTCCTGACTGGTTGCCGTAACCGCGGGTCGACGGAATATATCGTTTATGCTTACAAATGCTTCTCCACGTGAAGAGCTAGATCTTGATGGATTGGCAGAAGCAGATGAGGGTATTGGGATCACCCAGTCAGACTGTGAGTTTGGAACCGAGCGGATAACTTCCTCAATCTCGTCGCTCTCTTCGGGCTCTTCTTTCACAATTGTTGGGATCGTATCCTGTATATCAACTGCGGGGGAATAAAGTGGCACCGGATGCACAAACGATGGAGCACCTATGAACCCCTGGGATGCGGAAGTGATCGGAATCAAACAATTCATAGGGCCGAGTGAGCTCGAGGTATCCGCTGGCGTATTTTCATCAAATTCGGTTGATATACCAGGAATACCATTCCTATTGTCCGGGAGAGTTGGTGCTAGGTCCGGCGGGCTGGTGAGAGTAAGTCCCCCTGTATGTTGCGGCCCAAGAAGACCCGGTTGAGCCGGAGTCGACGGTGATGTTACGTGACCCAGGGAATCCAGGGGTAGTAAGAATGCCGAACCTAAATTAAAACTACTTGGAGATCTGGACGAACGTTGTTCATGCACACATGGCGCATCCTGTGGAGACCCATATTGCGACTGGTGCGCAGATGGAGATCCGAAGTTGGATTCTAAAGGCGAGGATTGGGCAACTCCGACAGGCGCGGCGGGAGGTGTGGTGATAGATGCTTCTGGGCTAGATAATGGAGAAGATCTCTTCGGCCTTGATGCTCCTGGACCTGGGCATCGTCAGCCACCAGCTAGTAAGTGATAGTGGATGATACAGTACTTTTACGTGCAGGCTTAGGTGCCTTTCCAAGACTGGCTTCTTCGAAGGGTCTCCATTTGAAATCTTTCTTGTAGCCCCCGCAGGGCACCCCACGCTTTTGACCTAGTCTATTCGTCAGTGACCACTCGATCTTATCTCCCAAGTCAGACCAAGAGCCATGGTCCAAATGTCCAGGAATCGCCGATAAGGCTGTACGTACATTGGTGGCATGTAGGCTTGGATTCATCACACTTCAATCTCTTAGCCTTACATGTAACGCATCCTATCGATATAAAATCAGTATTCGAACAATGTTATAAACTCCATCATTTCTCTTCCATCCCAGGCATAAGCCGATGAGGCTCACCCCCCTCATCGAACTGCGTAAGGGCGATGGCCGTGCTTACCATTTCTGCTTTTCGATTGCTTCGGCTTTGTTGGTGCAGGACCAGCACTCTCAGGTGACGACCTCATTTCTTCCTTTCCACTTTTCGATATTGCCGTTGCGGGAGAAGCGTAGCCGGAGCTGCCCAGTCTGAACATAGTATCAGTCGTGGTTGAAGACGGCATGGATACAATGTGGTTGCCGTCGTATGCAGAATAGACCGGTAGCAACTGGAACTCCTTCGGCTATCGGTGAAACTTCCTCGAAAGCAACGATATACTCTCTAACCCCGAAAATAAAAGAACCCCGATCTCCGTTAAATCTTTGGTGCCTATATTGAGGATTCGATAAATCCTTGTATTATTTTTTGGGTTCTTTTTTTGATCTTCGCCTCTTCCCTCCCTGCTTTCCGGCGTGGGTTAAGGAAAAGTATCTCTCAGAAAAATAGTGCGCGTGACGCAGTTAATGTACGTAAGGCACGACGCTTTCGAAGAAGCGATAACGAAGGAAACTCGGTTGGTACAGAGTGACAAGTAAAGTAGAGCAAAAACACTGAGGAAGAATAAAAAGGGCACAGTAAAGACCCGGTCACCCGACTATCAATTCCACCTTACTTCTCTTCCTCTGTCAAAGAAAGAAGATGGGGTGCCCAAGCCTCACTTCCCGTGATGTTATCGCCAAAATTGATCTCTTTCGCTCACGGCGAACACCCAGTGCACGGCGGCCCCTACCCGTTAAAACGTAGACTGCCGGTGTCGTAATGGAATTGCCTTGTCCGTGCCTCTTCCCGGTCGTCGAGAACTTGCAGGTAGATAGATCGAAACCGGGCGACGAAGGGCGATGATAAAATAACGAAAATGGTATAAAAGGGAAAGAAGGTAGGTTATACGCAAAGCTAACTTAACCCAAGCTTTTATTTTATTTTTCCTCCACCCCTCTCTTGTCCAGCTCGCTGCCAATGTAGAGATGCCGTGGTAAAAGGGCTGAGTTTATGCAGAATTCAGGAGGGGAATACCGTAGGGAAAAAGCCGGGCATCCAACCAATTCTATATTGCTAAAAGGATGATGAAATTGGCGGGAGATGTGCTGGGGAGCGAGCGCTGATGGAACACGCCGAGCTTTAATTCTTGCAACCCGCACGGGAGCGGAGATCAACTTGGATCAAGTAGTCAGTGGGCGGGTAGATGGACAGAAAAAAATCAATGCACCCCTAAGACTTTGAGAACGGGGGGAACTCCTGCTTCCGCCCGTCCTTGCTTATAGCGAGCTCCTTCTCCCTGTTCCCCCTGTTAATTGATCACGATCGAACTCCCTGACTGATAAAGGAATCGAACCGAGGGAGGAGCAGTTGCCGATATAGTGCGTGTGGAAAGTAAAATGACTCTGCACTATAAACGAGCCGATAACAGCAGGAACAAGAGTCAATCTGTCATGATAGAATCCCCCTCGTTAGGACAAAACAAAAGTTAAAAATATCAAATAAAGCAAAAATAATAAAAAAAGGGTCGATTTGAATGAATTCGATCCATCTACACGCGCATGCCTAACAAGGTTCATCATGGTTGGCGACATGGTAGATAAAGTATCATGATAAAAAAACACTTGAAATGGGAACAGGAAAAATAGCGTATCATTAACATCCCAAAGAGTGAGCATACCTATATTGCCAAGCCCAGAAGGAGGGTTATGGGCGACAGTGACGCTTAGTGAGAGCAGAAGCAGAAGCAGAAGTGGGTGAAAGCTGCAGCTGCGACCCAATATCTCCTTCAGGCGACAAGTGGTTGAAGGTAAACAAGCAGCAGGGATGAGCAGGGGACGAGGAGCAGGCTGGTAGAATTATCTCTACCGCCGTTTCAGTGGAAAATCTTTCTTTGGCGGCGTTAAAAACCGAGTGGTGACACAACACGAAATTCCTTTAAAAGAAGAAAAAATTACAAAAAAAGAAAAGAGTTAAGAAAGGAAGGTTCGCCCACCAAATCAAAATCGAAGCGGAAGTCCCAAGAGTGAAAAAAGCAAAATAGAGAAAAGGTACAGCGTGAAAACTTTTGTCTGCCCGTGGTTCTTACTCAATATGCCGAGGAGAAGGGGCTTTTAGTGTTTTGAATAAAGGGCAACTTATTCAACCCCCCCCGGTGAACGAACGAACGGATGTTTCGCCTGTAGGTATGATAATATTATGATAATGATGGGGGATGCGGAAGAGAAGAGGGAGGGGAGGATGGGGCGGGGTTAAGATGGGAGAGCCCCAATAAGCTATGAAGGTCTCGTCTCGTAAGGAAGGAAGAAGGAAGGGCAGGAAAGGAGGCCTCCCTCGAAGAAATTGGGGATCAGGGCCTGTTCCCGGGATGGCGAGTGGTATATATAACATCCGGCGGTATATCGACTGCGATACCGGCACACATGCCACCCCGAAAGACCTTATCGCCTCGCATTCAGGTCTAATCACACTTATTACTCACTCAACGCACTTTCCAAGAAACCTTTCCTGTACAGTACGCAGAGGCGGCGGTATGGTGCTTAATCGAATTCGCTGGGCGACTGGGCGACTAGAAGAGTTGCTGTGCTTGTCATGTCAAATCAGAAGAGCGGCGGGATAGGGCTGCATACCAGGACAAACTTCAAGTCTGGGGGGGCTAGACGGGAGAGAGAGAGAGAGAAAAGAAGAGAGGAGTATCGATTAGAACATTATTACACATCCGCCAAAGCCACTCATCGACGAAAAGCTCTCAACTACTCGTACAGTACAGTAATCGTAATACTCACACCTTAAAAAAGCCGAGAGCGTGTGGAACACCAAGAACCAGCAAAGCCTCACACCCACCTCATCCCCTTCAACTCACCACGATTGTTCCAATCCCCATCACCGAGCAGACTATCTTAGCTGCCTACTTCCAAGTCCCTGGACAAGCACCCCTCCCTGAACCCACGCGGCCACGCCTAAGCCCCAATCCCCAATCAAGTCCAACACTATTCTTAACCTTAATTCCCTCCTGCACCGGAAAAATTATCTTAGAGGAACCTAGATCGTATATAGATAGACCATAGACATCGACAACTCCACGAATCCCGATCTCAGCCAGAGTATTTCCACCCCCTGAGCGAGCTCTTGTGCGACACCTCAACGTGTGCATCATGGAAGTTCTTAGTACCATACCGGGACCAACCGGACAGCAACCAACTGCATAGAATTCTGCACTTTAGGATAGGGCGTTTCTTACTTGTTTCTTCTTTTTCTTCCCCACGGAGGTGGCAGCGCCCGGGAATCCCTGAGTGGATGGATGAATGGGATACCGAGAGACTCTGCGAAAGAAGCATGCACGGAACATGTCATAGTAGTTAGGTGGATATGTGCGTGTAGCCATTTCGAGTATTTGTTTGCGAAGTTATCTTCTGAGGATGTGGGATACTGTGCTGTAAGCCCGTTAGTCCCCTGTTCCTACCGAGAAAATCGTTCAAATATTGTCCATTTGGCAGGGAGAGAATGATATGGATATAGATAGAGTACTGAATAGGTCTGGGCCCATGTCATGGAACTCCCTGACCTCCCGTGTCTAGACTAAAAATCTCCATCTCGACCTTTTCTCTATTCACGGCCTCTGAAACGCTCCACCAGCACCGCTACCACCACACCCTGCGGCATCTGATAAACCATCAAGCCAGGCGGTCAGACAGCCAGCCAACCATGGGCAACTACCGTACTCTACGAGTACTCGAGTACGGTACAGTACCATCTCCCCCCCCCCAGATCCCACATCACCAATTCCCACCCACCCGATCATTGCACCTCAAGCCCACTTCCCAACTCAGCAAGTGAAAAACACTCCGTGCATAACCCGGAAGAAAAAGAAACGAAGCGAAAAGAAAGGAAAGAAATATCGGTCTCGCCGAGATATCTCACGGGGCGATACAGGTACTCTACGCAGTTAAGTCACGTAAGTTAACTGTTCACTCGAGTATGCAGCCAGACATCATCATACGGTGCTGCACTGAGCAGCCTGCTTTGCTGCGCACAGCGGGTAAAAAAAAATAAAGCTTGATGTCTTAGGTGTCACTCCAAGACAGGTCCCACAAAAAGGGGGGAAGAGGGGCAAAAAAGCGAGGAAAAAAAAAAGAAAATATAAGAAAAATCCAAATCATCGCCAGATCCCGATGACTTCTGTGACAGGGGACAAGGAAGATACCGGCGCTTTCCCGTAATGTCTTAGAGAAATACCGGTTGATATTTTTTCTAGTCTCCCGTTTGGGGACGCTTGGAGGGAATTTTAAAGTTTAGCACGGTCCAAGGGTTTCGCCATTCTAGCAATAGTCTACTTGCGCGAAAATGGGTCTGTGTTCTGAAGAACCTCAGAAACCGGGAATGGTGTCTCCGTCATGGCCATCTCAAAATTTTCAGCAATCAAATTGGGAGCTCAGAAAGGATATATTGAATGAAATATAAAGTTCGCAAAAACATCCCACACAGCACTGCCCGAGTACCGTACATTGTACTTGTACTAGTACTATACTCAATACCGGTACTACTTGAACAGAGCATCATACCGTGTTGTGATCAAATACAGGCCAACGGTCCGATGAAGACCGCGGCATTGTCCGCCCAACAAATCCATACCGGTACCTCACCAATCCAATAATACCCGCGCAGGTACTAGTACAGTATGTGGAGTATAATAATACATAATAGAAGGGGGGGTCAACCAACAGGGAAGCTCAACGAACAGATCAAATAAAGCCGCTGCTTTCCAAGACACTTTTAGTGTATTGTCCGCTGAACCCCCCTGTTCGTTGACCCCCCCTCCGATGTTAGTCCCAATAGAGGTACTGGTACGAGTATCTCGAATACAAGTGCAATCCAGTGGAAACAAGCGAACACTCCCCAAACGCACAACACCCCCCCCCCACGCCATAAGATCACACACCGAGGCCCGGGAACGGGCATACCGGTACCTGGGTTCCACTAATATCTCCGCCAACCCCGTCATCTCCGGATTCAGAGACGGAAACTCCTAAGGGGGATTAGCTCCCTCCTGAGATGGTGCAGTAATAAGCTCAGCCCACTGAGCGCTGTTGGATCTCGTTAATCGGGTTTTGGAAATCCCGTTAACCTGTCAACCCAAACCCATCGTAGGCTGGACGGGCTGATATCGGCCAAGTATCCTGATAGTAGGTTTCAGGAGTTTTCATGTTGTTGTCCGGATTTGATCTGAGCGGAAAAGAAAGAAACCTCACGCATTAACTTGTGGAAGGTGCACTAGTAACGCTGCTACTCGTACAAGAATTTGTTAGTGGAGCAGTCTGGCCTAAGCTGGGTGGGGTTGTTCGCTTCGCCAGCTAGGGGTTGCATAAAGATGTATAAGAGAAATTACTCGAGTAGAGAGAGTGTGCGAAGGGGAACGAAAAGTGCCATAGTGAACGAGATTGTATCTGTAAATGTGGCTTTCGGGCTTTGATGGGTAGAGATGAGGTGAATAACGTAGGGGAAGTCGCGGCGAGGTCCGTGGTTTTAGATGGATAGGGATGGAGAACGGGGGAGGGACGAGGGGTTTGCATGAGACATTTTGTTTTGAGATCTGGAAATTCGGTATGAATTCGTAGGGCTGAAGGTTCAGCAGCATAACAATGTCCTTCCATACCTTGCCATGCAAGTCATGTCATACCGACGCCCATTCGTACCATACCGGTAGTACTCGAGTACGGTAGATACTTGTGCTACATATAGCTATACTCGTACTGGTATATATAATTAGAAGGATCCTTCCTTCCACAGTATTGTACCGTAAAAACCGTGATAATTGAAGTTCGTGCCATGTAGTTGGAGTTTTTTTATTTGTTTTTGTATCAGAGGGGGGGGAGCGACTCGTTTCTTCTTGCTGTGTTTTTCGCCTCCTTTCCAGAGTAGAGAATTCTGGGCTGGATACCGGTAGATAGCGCATACTTCGATTATTCCAGTTTTTACGGCACCTGTACTACTATCGTATCCCAAGACGCACATTGCTCCCAGCACCCGTAGAGAACCATCCCTTCAAGAAAGAACATAATACTAATCGCCCCACCCAGTCCAGCCAGGCAAGGCCAGGAAGGAAGGAAGGAAGACCTCGGCATACAAATCCTGGCTCAGGATATCCGAATTAGCACAGCCAATCTGTGAAACAAAAAAAGTACCGTGCTACCCTACACCCGTGTTCACACAAAGTTCTGGTGACTCCAGATGCACACAAAGTCCTGGCAGTCATCGGGCCGGAATATTCGCGCAAGCTATCCTAGGGGATAATGTGAAATACTCTAAAGGATTTGTCGTTATCAGAATGATAAAAGGGATTTTATTTTTTTCGAAGAGGAGTCCCGTCTCGGCACCTTATGGCAGGAGTCGATAAGGGTGCCCGAGGCGCGACGAGAACTTTGCGGATGCGAGTGTGCAGCGCAAACGCCGTATCATACCGGTGCTGCACATACCACGTCTGACGCCCGGCCGACCCCGCCGCACCCTCAATCTGCGCGAGCAAGGCAGATTCCATCCTTGAAACCCCTAGATATTCATACCAGATCACTCGTATTCGATTCAGGCGTAGCGCAGCGGGGTGATCCGGGCCCAGCCACCCCCAAACTGAGGTCACCGTGCAAACATGATACTCCGATCATGCCCATGTTTGAAACTGTGCTCGAGTATAATACGTCGAATTTTCCCCAGATTTCCGTGCACGTGTAGACAAAAACCAGGGTACCATGTGCAAGGCAGTTTATAAATAAACGCGCATATTATGCGGTACCGTACCGCGTCGATCACTGCCGCGATGATTACCTTACTGGCAAACTAATAGAACTCATGAACTCCACACCAAACTATCGCAGGGCGACAAGATAGGCCACTTCCGATTCCACAACGTGCTCCAGCCCCACGGGGGCCCCGAGGGCCGCAACGCCAATCCCACAAGAGCCGGGCCCGTACAGCCCAGCCCAGCCCATCGCGGGAGCAGAGCGCACTGTACCGTACAAACTCGGCCCAATGAGCTGAGACCGAGTGGCCCCCCGATATATAATAGAAACAGCAAATACCAAACCCCCCCGGCAGCATCCGTCGGGAAATATATCGGGCCGATTGTTTTTGCTTTTTCATCTTTTTTTGTCCGCAGGACCTTGTGCTTTGCTTTTTTTCATTCAGTCCTTCTTTCTGGTGCAGTACAAGTATTGGCGGTTGGCTTGTGATGTTTTGCAGAAGTGTGCAGGATGACAGGAGAGGGAGAGTGTGGTTGGGCGATTATGGGCATAGCACAACACGGGGCGAGACAACCGGCTATTTGTTTGCTATGATACAGGTGATAATTTATGGTAAAATGAAATGAAATAAGATCCCGTGATACGAGATCGCAGATTCGGCTGCGGGGGGGAGAGGTGGGTTTTTTTTTGCTTTTTGACATATTTTGGCTTGGTTGGGTTTGCATTGCTTGGGCCGAGAGACAGCAGCGGCAGCGACAACGATACCGGTAATGGTAATGGTAATGACAGCTGGGACGGTAGATGGTTATGATCATGTATTCTTCCGTGTAAATTTGGTTCTGCGAGACGGCTAATTTCTTACTATGAATGTAGAAGGAGAGAGAAGAAAGGAAACGAAAACGAGCAATGAAAGGGTAATTTAGGCGAATGATTTCTTTAGCTATTACATCGAATCAAGGGCAAAGGCTAATGAAAGAGAAAGATATAAAGCAGGATAAAAGCTCAGAGCAAGCCAAGATAAGATAATATTAGCTTGCATGTGCGTGACTTGCAACTTCTCTAACTATGTGTTCTGCCTCAGCGGCTCGCTCGCCCCCCCCTCTAAAAGTACGCTTTCCACGGGCGAACCAGTATCCAATCGTCAAGATAAACACAAACCCGTAGACTGCGGATACGTAGTTCATCGTTCCACTCGTCACCGGCATAGAGTACGGGAAAGAGTACATGATGAGCGTAAAGCCAGTCCAGAATAGGAGCACAAGGTTTGCCACAAGCCCAAGCTTACCGACCCAGAAAGGACCGTGCTTGATGTTGTTGCGTCCTTTCATGAGGAGGAGGATCACCGGAATGGCATATGAAATATACAACAGAACAATACATGCAGTTACCATACTATTAAAGTTTTTTTCTTCTGTTAGCTAACTTTCTAAGGTATGGGGTGAGTGTATGGAAGGGGAAACACTGACCTGTTGAATGCCGTTGTTGATCCGATGTAAAGCAACCCTAGAAGCGCCACAACGATACAGCTCATGGTGTGTGCGTAGAACGGAATTCCCATAGTGGGATGAACCTGGGACCAATACCGAGACCCTGGCAATCCTTTGTCACGTGCGAAGGACCAACAGAGTCTTGCCTGCCATGTATGGCAAGCTATTTGGCAGCCCAGTCCTGTGAAGCAAATCAAGAACTCCAAAAATATCGCAGCAGGCTTTGAGCCTGTGGCCTGCCTGTATAGCTCGAGAATAGGGACAAGAGTGGCTGTCTTAACTAGTTCATCCAGATTTGTCATGGAGAAGAACATCGCGATGGAGTACAGAAATGCTGTGACGAATCCTATTGCCACAGTTCCTATGATTGCGAACGGAATATTGCTCTCGGGTCGCGGGACTTCTTCTGCCAAATGTGTTGCCGAATCTAGACATGCAAATGACCAATTGGGGTTGATGAGACCAACAATAAAGGCAATCGCATTCGATTCCCAGCCAGTATTGTTGACAAAATTGGCAAATACAAACTTGGCATTTTGTTTCGGAGACGAAGTGGCCAGGACGGTGATGGTAATTACGATGAACGAAGTGAGTGAAACATAGAGAAAAAAGCTTGCGACCTTAGGCAAAGTTTTTCCATAGCAATTGAAAACCCAGGCGAAGAGATTGAAGATCTGGTAAGAAACAAAAACCATCCATCTCTCAATGACGCTAGAGGGTGCAGATCAGGATCAGGTCCAAGACCATTTACGTAGGAAGGGCACGTACAGGTCTGGATGATTCATTTGTATCATGCCCATCAGAGCACTTCCTATCGCCAATGCGACACTGGCGCAGGTGAAGATACTTCCGGCATATCCAATAGCCCCGGTAAGGTATGAGAGGAATTTCATATGTCTTGGGGGAGCCAACACACTTACCCAGTAGTATTGGCCCCCAGAATTGGGCATCGCACTAACCAATTCAGCCAATGAGATACCGGCGCATCCATTGATAAGTGCGATTAGGATGATTCCATAGACAGTAACTACCGGTCCTCCAGAATTGATACCCGTAACAAGTGATGCAGAAATACCAAACCAACCTATCCGTAATGTAAGTTTACGCTCCCGCACCACTGATAGTGCATAAACTCACTGTTGGTAAGAGCAAAGGAGACTCTATTTTACCCGAGTTATGTCAGTAAACACTGTTACTTCTGTGTCTCAAGCACTGAATCACTGAAAATTGGCAAATGGCATGTTTGCGGAACGGAAGGTAAACGGAAAGGGTATAATGAACTCACCCAAGCAGAGACCACTTGCTGAAGTTCCTCTCAAGATCCTGGGTGTAACCCATCTCTGGGTGTTTTCATGTCAGCCGTGGTGTGCCCCACAAAATGCCGCAAAAAAAAAAAGTGGAATATTTGTCACGGGGTTCTATCGCCTCGGGTGACGAAGAGATACTCTGTCGGTTTATGCTTTTGGTGTCGGTGCCCGAGAAAAAGAAAAATAAAGGATGAAGGGATGAAGCCAGAGCATGATAGCAGAAGAAATTAACAAAAATTCGGAGTACAAACTAGCAAGTTTCACGGTGTCTGAGTCCATAGATCCAACATCTCCATCTAAATAGGTGACATTTTTATCTTTCAACGTTGTATCCTCCTCCCCCTGTGCATACGAGGGCACGGTCGTCATTTCGTTGGATGGAAAAATAGAGTTTGGGATAATGGAGAGGAAATGAATGAGAGATGATTTGATGATGGCGGGAGTGGAGGGGAGAAAGTGTTGGGGATATTGGGTGTCGTGGTGGCCGGCCTCTTGGTCGCTGTCGTCGCTGTCGTCGGTGTCACTGTTTCTGTGTCTGTAGCTCTCGTGGGCCTCGGCGCCTCCTTCTTCCTGGTATGATTCGTTTGCGATATTGCTATCGTTCGCCTCAAGGGGATCAAATGAAGCGATAGGTAGATAGAACCCTGCTCCCTTCCTTTCCCCCTCCTGTCTCGGTCTAGAATTGTATTTCGGGGAAAGAGACCCACAACTGGCGATTCGCGTCTTTTCAATTTTTTTCTTCCGCACGCTTGTCCCTTGAGCCGCAGGGTTTATGATGAGGGATTCAAGCTCCATCATGGGGCTTCTCCTAAAGAGGTAAGAGATCTTCTGCTTCTGATGAGCCTTTGATTGTTGCGAACACCGTATTTGTACTCGCAGTATCTCATTTCTTACCTCTCAAAGAAAATATAAAAACATAAGAGGGGGGTGGGAATGAAATTAAGTTAACAGGGAGGACAGCAACAACGGTTGTGGCTCATGTGAGTGTTCAATACCCGTATCGAACTACCGGTACCGTAAACTCTCGTTAAATCCACCATCGGGGATCAGGGGACTTGGCACGCTAGCAAGGGTATGCGCAATATGCCAAGAGGATGAGTGATCATCCATGATGCTAAAATTGAAAAACAATGCACAAAGTGTATCAAGTTTGTAAAGTGACTTGCTTTGCTGTAGGATACGGTAAAAAGTTGGGCCGTTCCCATATTGGAATGACTTGAAGGTAGCTGGGAAGTGAGAGTGAAATCTCACGTATTGTAAAATGAGTCAATACTAGATAGCTAAATAGGAGAGAATAGAACAAGGGAAATGCATTTATGTGAAAAATTATCAAGACTCAAGAGAATACAGGTGATTTGAAGTCTAAATCATCATTCGGGTACCAAAAGTGAAGCCTATTGCTGAGTGCCAATTAAGCAAAATAGACCTGAAACTAATTGTTTATCCTGAAAGAAGATATAGTCAAAATCAGAGACTCCGAGTACTTACTTCTTGAAAATTAACAAATTCCCCTATTGAACCCAAGACAATTCCGAAAACCAATACAGTAAGAAGCCTTTGATCTTTATCAAATTCCATGTTGTACAATAAGTGACTGAGTATGAAAGAAGACAGAGATTGAAAGAGTAGGAAGGAGGTTACAAAAGATAGAGGTGGTATGGGAGGGATATAGGTGATGGGTCCTATGGCCTGAGTTAAAAGATTGATTATATAGAGACTTCATAGAGCAGGGAAAGTAGAGAGAATAGTATGAATAGGGTGATTTTGTAACCAGTACGGGTACTTGGTTATTGGTTTTGTTTTATATTTTGTTTTAAGTATTGCTTTGATACTTAGTTTTGTTTTATATTTTGTTTTAAGTATCACTTGATACTTGGTTTTGTTTTATATTTTGTTTTAAGTATCGTCTTGATACTTGGTTTGTTTTATGTTTTGTTTTAAGTATCGTTTTGATACTTGATTTGTTTTTCTAAAGTGTATTACTTGATACCTTTGATTAGTTTCATTCATGCTAGACATGAATAAGATTTGTGTATTTAAAGACCGCCTGTTTCCACAATAGAAAAGGCAGACTTTAACAGATGGTATTTCAATATACTTAGTTGAATGGTTACCTCTTTGTTTCTCAGTACACCCTTGAAGCCTTCTTTGGTTCTGAGCTCTTGCCTTCTCTCTGGTAGAGCAGGCCACCTGTCAACTATCATACCATTTACTGATAACATGATTAGCACCTCATAAACACGTTACAGGTTTCGCATTCAATTCCAGTTCTGATTTCATAACATATACCCGAATGCGAATCCAAAAATATTCTGGTTCAGTAATAGGTAGTTCTATAGTTTCTAGGTCTCCATAAGATTAGCCTTCGAACAATTATCAAGAAAGCATTAAAGATACCAACAGATTATGAGATTTTGGTTGTTAACTAGCTCTAATTTAATTGGTGGAACTTACGGCCCTATACAACTCATATTTGGGAGGTTACTATTGAGTATCCAGTTGGCTGATATGCCTTATTGAAAGTTTATAATCTGAACGAAGCGCTGATTCCCTTTGAGTACCTCAATAGAAAGACATATAATACAGTTGGAAGCAAGACCATTTGGGTCAAGGAATACTGGTCAGAGTGGAACAGGTGTCAGGTAATACTCGTTTTGTGTATAATTGCTGATAGGATTGTACGACTACCCCCAATAGTGATATTTCGTGGTATGGGCTAGAGATTGAGAGCAGAGGAGGAGAAATATCACAAGGGAGTATTGGTAGAATTTAACCCTACAGTGTATATGAATGATACATTATTTGAATGCTATATTACAAGCCACCTCCTTCCAGTACTTTGTAGTTGGCTTACTCTTTTCGCTTTTAATTTAATGGGCTCGTACAAGATCCTGGCAGTTCTCGATATTCTATGGCAAAATGCTATAACCCCCTTTCTAATCCTTGCTGGATATACTAGTCTTATCTAACCTTTGGACATGTCTATCAACAAGCTCTTTAAGGAATTTCTTGGTGATCTTACGGATCAGAAAATATTTAAATCAGAATCTTTAGAGACTTTTGAGAAATGGACTGTTGGGCATTACCGTATTATATCAGTGTGTTGGCAATACATATCACCAATTTCATATACAAAAGACTGAGATTATTTATTTTTCTTTTCATAATGTTGGCTTATTACTTCCTATAGACAGTAGGTTAGATTACAAGTTAAATATTACAGAGTTTGGAAATATACAGATTGGGGATTGGAGTCAAGACTTTGGTGCACTTGATGAATTGACAGATGTAGGAGATATGGGGGATATGGAAGATGCTTTTATTGGATTTGTACATACAGAACTTGAATGATAAACAACTAATGCTGTAAAGTCTTAGATTTACAGGTCCAGTACTACATTCTAGGGGGGGTAAGGGGCTATGTAAACACCATCACATTGGGCATAGAGTACTTAGTACTATAATGAGAAGCTAGAAACTCTAGGCATTCAGATTTCTCCAGTTTCGAAGCATTGAGAATGAGACTCTCCTATCAAGAGTATTTTGCAGTTCAAAATGGCATTCAGAAGGTTTAATTTCCATATCATGGACAATCACTCATCCTCTTAGCATATTGTGTGTAGCAATGCACAATCATTTTAAGGGAGAAGTGATGATCAAACTTCTTCTGCTGGAATAATAGGAAAGATACAGTCCAGCTATATAATACAAAAGCGGTGGAGTCCTACAAGTACCACCCGTACTCCATAATAAGGAACAAAGACATTCAAAGAAAATACATAGGAACAAAAGAAATAAAAGAGCGTATAAAGAAGTAGAGCTTACACAACTTGATATATAGAAAGCTGAAAGAATCATTTGAGAGGAGAAAGAAACCTTATACTAACATTGTGCATACCCTTGCTAGTGTGCCAAGTCCCCCGATGCCCAATGGTGGATTTAACGAGAGTTTACGCTATCTCACCCATCACCTTCCCGATGTTATCACTACCGTATTGGATCGGGGACCCCATCTTTTGTGCTACCAAGCCAGCAATTGGCTGAGGAGGAACATGAGCTGTATTGTAGCGGCACAGCACTCGGCTCGAGTCCTCGTCCATGGAGCGTGATTCCTCGGCATAGTTTCGTTTTAGTACGGTACCGAAGAATCCCAAATGCCGGTATCGGTGATTGAACCGTGTGCTGGGCATCGGTAGTCCAAAATTTCCTTCTCCGGAGAGGAGCAAAGGTGCGGCGCAGCGGTTGGGTTTCCACGATGACCCGAGCGCAAATCATAAAACATTCCCCCATTGATCTGAGATTCGAGATTCGAGATGGAAGGAGAAAGGAGAAATCGAAATCCTACGAGGATTGTACGTACAAGCATGACGGACTGACCACGTCGGATGGCCCCTTGGTACATAATAATTGAGACTTGCTGTTGCTACTCGAGTGCTGCACTCGAGCACTAGTGCAGTGCCTGAACAAGTCATTGTATAACACCGGCGTGGCATCTGATATTAACCCACAAAAATGGAGCCTGCTTGGGGGGATTCGCCGTTTTCACGTCATCCACATCTAGACCAACAGATACACTCGCCCCGGGCTAGGGGTACCGGAAGGATCTCTTGCGATTTGCTATCTCCGGCGGTACTCCGATCTCCCAGTTAGGACAAGAGCCCTTAAGAAGGACTAGTATTTTCTTGACAAGGTATAAGATCATTGGGCTGGGTATGTTGGATATCATTAACCGGTATCCGCAATTTACTTAACATCTCAGACTAGGACTAGCGTTGGTGGACATTGATAATTTGATAGTGGATCCCGAGAGTCTTGTGGTGTAAGACTCCAGACAAGCATCGCGATTCTCGCCAGTTACCACTAACCTGGCCTAAGAAAAACAGTCTAACAGCATCGGCATTTGGCGTATGGAAAAACGACCTTGGAAGGGGAGAGATAAGACTTGCAGCAGAAACGTGAGATGATCGATTCTCGACAACCTTACTGCAAGGCATGCATCCTGTTTGCGCCGAATAAATAAATAAAGAGGGTGAGGTTAGCAGCCAACGACACCTTAATTTTTAGTTGAAACGATGATCAAATGCCACCGCAGCCTATTAAATTTATACCGGCACAATTCTCTGAACCTTGGTTGAGATAATGCCAAAGAAAAATAAATAAGGAACATATTGGACAAGAGGGGACATTTTCCTGAACAATTACGATACTATCAGTCTAAATTGCCTGAGATTTTTTTTACCACATTGAAACCTTCGAGATTTAGGGCTCGAGTTATGAAGGTTTTTTCACTTTTAGGAGAGGGGCATCATAAACTAATTATTAATAACAACCACAACGAATTTTGGAATCCTATGAGCGAGAATAGGGGATACTCGAGCACTTCAGACGGAGGCACAGCTTGTAAGTTTATGTGTTCCACAATCCAAGGGTGCTGCACTCTGCATGTGGAACATACAAAACTTGTGAGCTGTATCTCCGTGGGATAATATTGGAGAAGTTTTTCTAAAAGTTTAGGACAAGTATTTTAAAATTGAAGTTTGCTGAGTTATGAGAATCTAAAGAGGGGTATCTGTCTTGGTGCTGATGAAGTTTGTGGGGAAGTGGACAACTTTCCTGGAGAGGCGGGGCTTCATTGTGACTAGCATAAAAGATCTACAAGTACTTAATATCGCACTGTTGGGGGCTGAAGGGTAATCTTGGTTGTATATGCGGAGATGCACACAACACGTTCTAGATCCGCCCGTTCAAGATTTCCACTTTAGAACTTTATCCACTTCGCTTGGGCTATTGTTTTTCCTATTTGAAAGTCTGGTGGTCCTGACAGATATGGACTGCAAACCCCACCAAAAGCTCGTCCGGGGAAGCTTCTCAGATAGGAGGTGGAACGACAATATGATTCATACTTGAGCA